GTTAAAATTCTTTAAAAATGCTGAGACATCCCAAAGAAAATGGTGCCATGTCGTTGAAGCAATAGAGCTCCACGGAAGCACGGTCTCCACGAAGTTCGATCATACATTCTTGCCGATGACATTCATAGGCAGGCTTTCGGCGTCCCAAGTTGCGGTGGGAAACCGGGTCCCGACTAGTTCCAAACATGATATTTCATTGTCGTAACCCTACGTGAGAATTTCACTCCTTCATTCTTGCTCATGGCATTCATACCGCAGAGGTCCCGGTCTAAGCCCACTCCGACACGCATATCTTCCCTGTTTGATCGAATGAAAGGCACAATATCGCAGAGCGTCGTTGCTAAATACATGTTCAACTGTCCGCTCCGAGGAGGGTCACTCGTCGAGAGAACCCATTCGCATCTGAACTACGCTCTGCAATTTTTCTAGTAGCACGGCACTATATTCAACATATCTGTCATATTTCAAAGGAATATGGCACCATGCCGTTGACGAAAGAGCTCCACGGAGAAAGTCTTCACGACGTTCACTCATTCATTCTTGCCTATGACATTCATAGGCGAGGTTGTCGGTGTCCGACGTTGCGGTGTGAAGCCGAGTCTCGACATCTTCAAACACGTTGTTTCACTAATCCTAACCCAATGAGAATGTCACTCCTTCATTTTCGTCCCTGACATTCATTTAAGGGCTGTCTGTGCCCGAAGTCCCGGTGTCACACCGAGTCCCGACTCCTACACGCATTTCTCGCTTGTTCGATCGAATCAGAGACATTTCTTCGCAGGGCGTCGTTGCCAAATACATGTTTTGCTTCTGAAGCCAAAACTCTGACTTTTCAGTACTTCAGTAGCATGGTAATCACTCTTAAACATAAATATGGATGTGAAAATACTGCGAAACCAACACGATAATCCAAGGAGAAGTGGTACAATGTCGGTGAAATATTTGGCCTCAATGGGAACGAACCTGACAATTTTCACTCCTTCCACCAATGAATTTCGCAGCAGATTCGGCGGTCTTCGGAGACATACTTTGACAGGCGAGGAAATAACATCTGCCAACCCACCTTGCGCTCTCGCCCAACCGCCTTTCTCCGAAACCAAAAACAGTCCAAAGCAGTTTTCGACCCGCACGCTCTTGATGACATTGCTCCGCTGCGGCGTTGCCGTCTCTGACTCCCGCCGGCGCGCTTGTCGAAGGATGATTTCCTTTTCCCTTCCCACCCTCCGTCTGCGCTTTGCTCGTGGAAACTGATGGTTGCGCGCTTTCCCCATCCCCGTGGGCAAGTAAGGCTAACCCCTTGCGGCCCGTACTCCCACATCCTACAGAGATATCACTGCTTTGTCCGCCCCTTCTAGACATGTGCCCCCCGCCGTCTGCATTCCATCTTCCTCGACCACCTTGCCAACCCCACTGTCTCCCTTTCTTGCTCCAATTCCTTCTATTTTTTTTTTCTCCTTGTATTTCTCCCATCCACCTGCGCCCTCGCTCTCGGCCGGCGTAAGGTCGTCTTGAGAAAGACAACATGTTGGTCTACACGTGCAGCGGGAACCACATGGAGGTTTCGGCTGAATAACAGCTTACGCAAATACTGGTGGGCGTGGCTACACAGCAAAATTGGTTCTCGTCCATTGGATGCATTCTCGAAACGCTTCATGCGGTGTTGTAAATACGTCATGTTCACGACACCGCCAAGGTGGTGCTACGGCCATATTCTTCGGTGTATCTCGGGAACCACATGTTAGTTTCGGCCAAATGAGGCTTGTGTGACAGCTGGGGGCCCTGGAAACACAACAAAACTGGTTTCGTGCCTATAGATGTGTTTTCGCGGTGTCGCACAAAAGTTTCTTTACGACACCGCGGAAGTGGTGCCGTGACATCGTTTTGGGCCATATTTCGGCAACCACTGGTCACTTTGGGACGAATGAGGGCTTGCGCGACAGCTGAGAGCCGTAGGAACAAGAAAATGTGGTTTTGAAGCATTTTGTGCGGTGTAGTAGATAGCATTAGCGATACTAGATTGCTGTAGACCCTCGCTCGAGTAAACTCCGGACTACTCACTTCCGTTGTCATTGCAGCTCTTGATATTGTTTTCTTCACGTTAAAAACAAGAGCTGCGTACTCTCTACCCAGTACCTTCTTCTGTCCGTACTATTAGTCTCAACACTTGACGCGGTCGATTCCCGTGGTCACACTCTAACTTACTCAATACAGGTACAAGAAATTAAACTGGATCCGAGGGTCCACAAGTCAATAGAAATCAACGACAGATAGTATTGGACCCTCCGCTTGCCTCTATACGTTATGCGAGGATATACACGCAATAATAGTTCGGGGGGGCAGGGGATGGGTGCTAACGAAGGGTCAGCCTACTTAGTTTTTCTCCATGTCCGGCGCGTAAACATACAATTCGTACTACTTAAGAAGTGACTTCGCCACTGGCCTTTGGGCCACCGAGCCCGCGTGGGTAGGCGTTTCTCTGCATCTACAAATCCGAATGACGTTCTCGATGGCTTGTATGATAGCTGACCAGTACTAACACAATACCGGTTTGCGTGGGGCAAACGACGCCCTGTACATAGAATTTGGCCTGGTGGAGCAGATATGGTCCATCTGATCCACCGGCCTTTGAGCCCCCGAGCCCCCGTGCGTGGACGTTTCTCTGCATCCACCGAAGACGTCTTCGATGGCTCGTGTGATAGCTGTGGGCCGTGCCAACATGACGCTAATCTTCGTAGGGCAAAACAACGCCATGTAGATAGAATTTGACCTAGTGGAGCAGAAACGGCCTATCTGCTCCACCGGCCTTTGAGTCGCCGAGCCCCATGTGTGGGCGTTTCTCTGCACCTGCTAGTCCGGTTGGGGTGCCCGATGGCTTGTATGAAAGCTGCGAGCCGTGGCAACACAATGAAAGTCTCCGTATAGGGCAAACGGTGCCCTGTAGTTAGGGTTTGGCCTGGTGGAGGAGGTATTGCCCATCTGCTCCACCGGTCTTTGAGCCGCCCATCCTCGTGGGTGGGCGTTTCTCTGCACCCACTGGCCCGATTGGGGTGCCCCGTGGCTTTTATGACAGCTGTGACCAGTACTAACACAATGCAAGTCTTCGAATAGGGCAAACGGCGCCCTCAAGATTGAGTATGGCCTGGTGGAGCAGGTATGGCCCATCTGCTCCACCGGCCTTTGAGCCGCCGAGCCCTCGTGCGTGGCATTTCTCTGCACCTACCGATCTGAAAGACGTCCTCGATGGCTTGTATGATGGCTGTGAGCCGTGCCAACACAAGGCAAGTCTTTATGTAGGGCAAAACGACGCCCTGTACATAGAGTTTTGGCCTGGTGGAGCGGATGGCCTATCTGCTCCACCGGCCTTTGAGCCGCCGAGTCCCGTCGGCGGGCGTTTCTCTACACCCACTAGTCCGGTTGTGGGGTGCCCGGTAGGTTGTATGATATATGTGGGTCGTGCCAACACAATACTGGTTTGCGTGGGGCAAATGACGCCCTGAACACAGAGTTTGGCCTCGTGGAGCAGTCATGTCCTATCTGCTCCACCGGCCAATGAGCCACCGAGTCACCGTGGGTGGGCGTTTCTCTGCACCTACCGACCTGAATGGCGTCCTCGATGGCTTGTATGATAGCTGTGGGCCGTGCCAATACAATGTAAGTCTTTGTAGGACAAGCGACGCCCTGTAGATTGAGTTTGGCGTGGTGGAGCAGGTATGGCCTATCTGCTCCATCGGCCTTTGAGCCACCGAAGCCCCGTGGGTGGATAGTCCGATTGGGGTGCCAGATGGCTTGTATGAAAGCTGTGAGCGGTGCCAACATGATGCGTGAAGGTTAATGCACGGTTTACCTATGTGACGGGAGGTATTGCGGGACAAATGACAATTATTTACTCCCGTCTGTTGACCATATCTCTGCAGGAACATATGTGATGCGGGTGTCCAAGAGCTCGTTGTATGAAAAGTATGGACCGTGCAAACACGATGCAAAAAAGTTGGGGTTCCTTGGAGCTGTGTGCGCCGAGTTACGAGACGACTACCACTTCCTGAGATGCTGCGGAACCATTCTTTCTGGTAGACCTCTGCTGCCGAGTCAAGTGTCTGTAGCTTGTCAGATAGCTGTGGCCAAAACCTACACGATGCGAATGTTTGGGGTCGACCGAAGCTCTGTGGGTGGACATCTGCCTGGTGGAGCAAACATGAAGAGTCTCCACCGGTGGAGCAAAAACCATTTCTGTTTTCACCCCCTTGCTTGCAGGAAACCAGCGACCGGCGCATGAAGAATCAAGACGCGGACCTGTGCACAATAGTCGCCATGAAGGTGTTCGCCGCGGGTTGGAAAGGACGGTACCCAGCCAGGAATTTTGTTCATGCACCACGTTGTGTTGGGGGCGAATGGGTTAGAGGGCGTCATGGAGGCGCTGGGGGTGGGGGGTATGGGGACGTCTTCTCTCTGTCCGTTACCATCGATGCCGCTGTGCAGCGTGGCAAGACAGCGGTGTGTTTTGGTCCTCCTCGATTTTTTGTACTTTTCGGGGTCTGGCGGCCTCTAATTTGTTATCTTGTTCTCGTACATCTTGGGTAGGAGAGAGTTGGAGTGGGAGGACTATCTGACGGCAAGCCTTGAAAGATACAACTCAAGAGGAGCCGGTGTCTTGAGCTTGAACATGCCCGCAATATTTCGTCAACGTACGTACTTGGAAGTATTGCCACACCCCAACAGACAGTTGGTCTGTCTCCGATTTTTTCCAGAGCCTTCATGACATGCGTGCGTGAACAGTCTTTTATTGTATGTTGGTACGTTGTATTCATTAGGCAGAATCGGAAAAAAGCGACTCGCAAGTTCGGTCGCTTCCCCGAGTGGTCCCGGCTCAGCAACAGCCAGAGTCCTGCTTCTAAAGCACAAGGACAAGACTCAACAACAGCAAGCAGCATGTTGCTGCATCATCTGGTGTTTCTCCCATGCTATCATCCGGCAAGGCTAAGTTTCTTGCTTGCGATACTCTCTCTCTACGACTTCCGTCTCGAGCTTGCCAATTATTTTTCTTGGTTCTTCCTACTACCACCGTTCTTCGGTGTCCGATTGATGTACGCGAATAGCATGGAAGATCATTGAGGATGGAAGGCCTATTTTCTTCTACACCATTCCCGCTACCTACGTCGTTCTAAACTACATTTGCCCCTGCATGGGATTCTCTTGGGCCTGCACGAGCCACATCATCTTGGATTCGCTGCGTGTATTCGTCCTATCTCTTCTGGCGCCGGTCTACACACAATTTGGTGCACACGTTTGACGCAACAACTGGGGTCTCACTGCACCACATGGAGCTTTTTCTCGACATGTTCTTCATTTCGCTAAAACACAAAATATACACGGCAAATATCATCATTCGAAACAACCCTTCATCAGAACAACGGATAAATACAACTTCATTGCGTGCTGAATTCGCACGCGCCAATATTCATCCATAATTCCCCGGCACACAACGCATTTGAATTCCAAAGGTCACCACAACCACCAACTACAATAGTGGCTTCATGCCAAATCTGGACGTACTCACACCATATACATCGGAACAAAAAAGTAGCTGGACTGAAAAAAGAATCGAGACGACCTGGGTGACGCGTGGTGTCATTCATGGTCGTGCAGCCAACCCAGTCTTTGGTGCAGGCAAGTCTTTTCCGAAGATATCTACATCCCGTCTCTTCACAGGAAACACAAACACGAGAGAGAGCACGAGCGAGAGAGAGAGAGAGAGAGAGAGAGAGAGAGAGAGAGAGAGAGAGAGAACAGGATATACCGGCAGACCCCGAGCCCTCCCTTGCCACTCCATCTTGCTGTCAAGTGAATAGCAGTCTGCCTACAGAAACAACAATTAGAAGGTTGGACACCCTCCTTCTGATATGCACTCGCAGCTGGTGACCCACTTGAATATTCTTGCCAAAAGCCCTTTCCTCGTCTTCCCTTCCGTGTCTTCAACGGGCGCTGGCGGCTGGGGGGGCGCAACCTCTGGTTCTTCAACAGGCGCCGGGGGCTGATGGGGTACAACTACCGTCTCTTGAACAGGCGTGGAAGGCTGGGGAGGCACAACCACCGTCTCTTGAACAGGCACAGACGGGGCGGGGAGCGCAACTTCAGGTTCTGCAACAGGCGCCGGCGGCTGGGGGGGCACAACCACCGTCTCTTGAACAGGGATGGTCGGCTGGGGGGGCACAACCACCGTCTCTTGAACAGGGGTGGTCGGCTGGGGGGGCACAACCACCGTCTCGTCGACAGGCGCCGGCGGCTGGGGGGGCTCAACCACCCCCTCTTCAACAGGAGCCGACGGCTTGATTTCTTCAACAGGCATTGGCGGCTGGGGACGCGCAACGTCCACCTTTTCAACGGGCGCCGATGGCTGGGGGGGCGCACCTACTGCCTCTTCAACATGCGTAAACGGCTGAGGGGGCACAACCACCGCCTGTTGGACAGGCGTCGACGGCTTGGCGCGCGCAGATCCCCCCCTGACAGCACGCCCCGATGGCTCGGGAGGCGCAACTCCCATATTGAAAACAGGCGCCGACGGCAAGAGGGGGGAAGCTTCCGTCCCTCGAGTAGGCTCCGGCGACTGGGGGGGCACAACTACCGCCTGTTGGACAGGCTTCGACGGCTTGGCGCGCGCAGATCCCCCCCTGACAGCACGCCCCGATGGCTTCGGGGGCGCGACTCCCAAGCTGTAAACAGGCGCCGACGGCAAGAGGGGGGCAGCTTCCGTCCCTCGAGTAGGCTCCGGCGACTGGGGGGGCACAACTACCGTGCTTTGCACAGGCGTCGACGGCTTGGCGCGCGCAGCTCCGCCCCTGACAACACGCCCCGATGGCTCGGGAGGCGCAACTCTCATATTGAAAACAGGCGCCGACGGCAAGAGGGGGGAAGCTTCCGCCCCTTGAGAAGGCTCCGGCGACTGGGGGGGCACAACTACCGTGCTTTGCACAGGCGTCGACGGCTGGGCGCGCGCAACTGCCCCCCTGACAACACGCCCCGATGGCTGGGGAGTTGCAACTCCCACGCTGAAAACAGACGTGGACGGCAGGGGGGCGGCAGCTGCCGTCCCTTGAGTAGGCTCCGGCGACTGGGGCGGCACAACTACTATCTCTTGGACAGCCGACGGCTTGGGGGGCACAATTACCGCCTCTTGATCACGCCCCGATGGCTGGGCGCGCGCAACTCTCGTGCTGGAAACAGGCACCGACGGCTCGGGGGACGCCGCTACCGCCTGGGGAATGAACTCCGACGTCTCGGAGGGCACAGCAACCGCGTCCACAAAAAGCATCGACGGCTGGGGGGGCACAACGTCCGCCTTTCGAACACGTGCCGGCGCCTGGGTGAACCGCTCGGGACTGTGCCACAATATTCCGTGCATTCGCCGGTCGGGTGTAAGGAAATGGGGGGCGGGCGGACAAGGGCACCGAAACGGGTCAAACATTTGGGAGGAAGCAGGGATATGGCGATTGTGTTGTTGCTGGAGAACTGCTTGCTGCTTGGTGGCGTTGCACATTGTCGGGTGGAAGTCGTGGTGCATGTGTCCGGTGCCGTTGTTGCTAGAACTGTGTCGAACGCACTTACTTCCCTGCGTATTTGGGCGTAACGTACTTGTTCATTTTGCTGTAGTGTTCTACACGCGTGCCTGGGTCGTTTGCTTCTTAATCAACGCACGCTACATACCCGCGGTGAAACTAGACTGACTAGCGACCAGAATGACGACCAGTGTCTGCCTCCGTAGGTTAGCCAAAACCACCGTTGTGAGAAAGAGGAAACATTCTACCGTACGTATCATGTCAAGTTTTCTTCATAGGTGTACACTACATAAAACATCCGCGGACGTTCAAGATGCTTAAAGTTTTCTCTTTTGACACCCCCCCCCGGTGTTTGCCATCGGGATTGGGTTTTCGTCGCTTGGCGACGACGTTGTAAAACAAGCCAATTCACTTCGTGAACTCGGCAACCAGGTTACCGGTTTTTTTTCTACCTCCGGTGTTTTTTTTGGCGGTAATCATAATGGTGGTCGAGTAGATCATGTTGTGCGGGGTGGAGAACCCTCACTCCGCGCAAGGGGGATGATCGCACCACGTTGTGGTAATATGGTCAAGCACCCTCGAGGCAGTTACATAGTGCTTACAACTGTCTCTGGAAGTGAAAGCACCAGAAATTAAACAAATTCATACGCAGCTGTCATCCGTACGCAAGGAAGTAAGCACAAGATGCCGAAAACCCTTAGCAGGATGCAGCGCACCCTTCATGCGACTCGCCGAATATCTCACGGCGCTTCGCGCTTGGTGATGTGAGAGCCTGGTCCGGTGAGAACCCGGCGTGCTCCGTCCCGGCTTTGTAGGGATGCGAGGTCAATGGTCTAACGACTACGGCATGCACGACTATGAGTACACATGAGTACACGCATGAACATGTGTTCTATCGTAGGCTCGAGTTTGGGCCGGTGCTCATCATCAGCGTCGCTACGAAGAAGCAAGCCGCCACGCAAAGCGCACACTGTGCACCGAATGAAACAAATACGGTTTTCGGGAGCGCCCGTGCAGCGGCCTTACGCTGTCGGAACTCTCCCGACACTCACTCGTCCTCGAAGGTTGCCACGCCCCACTCAAATTTTTATTGCCAATGGGACACGGATGGCTGTACCACTAATCACGAACTTCATCGCTACCACCTTTAAGCGTGTAATGCACGAACATGACGGGTTCTGTCCCGGTTCCTGCCAGGGTACACCATTTACTAGTCATGAAAACGAGAAGATGCCGACTTCTACCGTGTGCATTGAAGTTGTTTTGAGCCTACCGTCGCGTGAGTTTTTCTAGGTATTTCACATCAAAACTTGTGTGCTATGTAGGGGCTATTTTTTTCGGGGGGAACAGAGGACTCCGCGCGGTTTGTGTGTGTATGCAGGCAGGCGAACATACGCATGTAGTTTGCAAACTACACGTCAGTGTGTGTCGTCTGGAAGGGCAATTATCCGCGCCGCTGACGTGCAGACAGCCCGATGCATACATCATCGTTCAACGGCTAGCGACGTCCCAAACAGGACGAAGAGCTCATTTCTTCCTGCAGAAATTGATGCACGAATGGTATCGCTAACGCTTCTTGAGCGTGTTCTAAAATTTTCTCATGTTGTGCTCAATACCTGTCGCCCGCGTGGCGCACTATCGCCGTCGTAGCACAGTTCACTCGAGTATATACACAGACTGTCAACTGGCGTCGTCATCAGGCTACATATTACCTTGTTTTCGGTGAGGATTTCTATTCAGCAGATCTGACATTCGCTGAGAAGAAGACACAAAGCAATCTAGCACAGGCAAAACCATTAGGGGACTGCTCTTGACTGTATGCAGTATTTGCAGACCCTAAGCCACCGATTTTTTGTCACCGAAAGGATGCAAGGGCGCGCGGGGGCTCTCGTTGTATTTTCTCGAGGTAATTGACTGTGGTCGATCGAGAACCAGAACTTAGACTGCAGGGCAATCCCCGTCTCCTCGTGCAGTTTGACGAATGCTGATTCTTTTCACTATGCCACAGCTTTCTCTCTCCGTCCCTCATGCACCGCGAACACTTCGCTTCACAACCGCACGCGCATTCACTCAGCCGCCCAGTACGCACAAACACGCTCACTCATGGATTCGTGGTGTCCTCCTTCTTTCTGTGTGTGATTTTTTCGGCCTGGTATACTAGAATGTCGTGCTCTTGGCACCTACCCGTTGCCAGCTGTCATGCCAAACATTGATTTAATGTAGTCGACACGTAGTGTTGTAGCGCCTAGATGCACATCACATGTGTTCTTTCAAATGGCGCGCGTTGGGTGCTGCGCTTTTGAAAGTTAGGCCCGTTTCAAGCGAACCACAAAAAAAAAACATGGAAAGAACCTGAAGAAGACATGGAACGCTGAAAAGAAAACCGGTACCACGGTACGCTTGCAGAAGGAATGCAAGAGCCTTTGCACACATTAGGCGACATGTATATATGTCTACTGTACTTCACTTGTGGAGAACCACAGGACATGTAGATCCTGTACTAGTCTACAGCAAACGTGACTTTTAGGGAAGGGCTTCTTCGGGTGGTGCACAGTCTACAGATGGCGCCCGCACTTACGAACCTCTAGACGCTCCTGATGCGCGCAAAGGACAAGCCGACAACAACATCACAGCCCGCCCCGCCTCCACCACTGACCATCGAAGCCGCGGGACAGAAATACGCCCAGACGACCGAGTTCCGGGACCTCGGTGGCCTCGTCAACGAACATGGCGACCTCACCCGGGAGATCAACTACAGGAGCAGAGGAGCGTGGGCGTGCCTCAGGCGATATGGTCGGGAGCTCTTNCGCCTACTGTTCGCGGGAGCATTGGCAAGGCAGCCGGACGGGCGACTCCCGAAACGACTGATGTTCGGTGAACTGGCAGGGGGGAAGAAGCGACGTAGGGGGGGACAGGAACAGAAGTGGCCGAAGTGTGTGCTCGACGACCTGAAGGCATTCGGGGCC